AGCGACCAGGAGAAGCTGTCGAATCCCTACCCTTGCCATCCCCAATATGACTAGCCGTTTTTCTACTCGAGTAAAGTGAGACTCGAGAAGAGAGAGGTGTCAAACAGTACCGTACTCGAGTAATAAGGGGAAAAAAAGAAAAAGAAAAGAAAAGAAAAAAAGAGGGAGTGACGCCTTCACAGGGAAGGCTACAGGCGGTTTGAGCCGCCCCTTCAGCAGGAACAAGAGCCATGATCCCGGAGATTTTACATTTCCCCTGCAGCCTCCCGACAAGAAAGTACAAGTAACTTAACAATAATAAAGATAATGAATGATGCGTCATGATCCCTAAAGCTTTCCTTCACGTCTGCCCCTTTCGTGTAATCCTTTGCCTTATTTTCTCAATTCCCCTTCATCATCCCCTCCCATTCAGTCCATCAATTCACAAGTGGGGAAGGGAAAAATGGGGGTGGCAAGGGCTTGTTCCCGGGCCAAGCCATTAATCCTTCTCCGTGAAGCTCTTCTCATCACCCTCGGTCATCATGAAGGCATGCGCCAGACGTTTCTGATCCTCCCGGGAGAAGCTCTTTTGTCTTGCATGATGGGCCGGCTTGCCACCGCCGTCCGATCCGCCCGTCTTCTCAGCAGCTTTTTCCGCAGAGAAGCCGGAGAAGCGAGCACTGTCCTGTTCGTAGTTGTGGGACGAGCGCCGAGGCAACGGGGGCATATTGGTGAATGTCTGTTGCTGCTGCTGGCCATTGTCGACTTCAGCAGCCGGGGAGGGCTCAGTCCTGTTCTCGATGATGGACTGGGAGCTCTGCGAGGAAGGTGCAACCCAGGAGTGGTGGGGTTTCTCGGTTGTGAGTTGAGACATATCGCTCTTGTCTTTCGATCGCTACTACGATACACCGTTACCAAGACGATCTTTCACTGAATAGTTTTTTCCCTTTTCCCTTTCCCTTTTCCCTCTTCCCTTTTCCCTTTTTCCGCTTCCCCGCCCCCTTTCCCTTCTCAAAAAAAAAAAAATTCTTTCCAAAGAATGACTTACTTTCGCAGTCCAAGTCCGGTGGAATATTTTCTCTCTCTTTATTTCGTCGGGGAAAAAAGTTTCAATTGAGTATCTGGGGATTCCGCTGGTGAAAGAGAGAAACGAGTCGTTGAGGAGGCGAGGAGAAAGGTGACGAAATGCGGGGGCATCTTTTAACCAAGATGGTGATGTGCGCTTGCGTGATCATCGCTGCAGCATCCCTGTTTGTGGTCTGGTTGTGGTGAGATGCTAATCATGCTATGCTTGCTCATGGGTGTGCTACAAGGGTAGTCTGTGGAAGGATCCCGATGGTGACTATGGTGGAAACGGGTGTCGGTAGCAGGGCTAACAGCCTGAAGGGAACCTCATCCAACTACGGTATTTTTTACAAGGGTTTACCACGGAGAATGAAAGAGGGGGGAGGCTCTCACTTATCAAATTGATTGGGATATTGTATTAATTTGGCTATTTGCTTATTTACCCTTGAACTGGACGTCTCGCATGAGGGATATTTTGAAGAAGTAAATTTTGTTGTATTTCGAGTTCTATTCATTAGGATTTTCTCCGGTCACGGGCATCACCTGGTATCACTCGTGTAGCCCCGTCCATTACTTAGCTTTGGAGCTCCGTGCTTTGAGACCGTCGGGCGGGGTCCGTGGTTTTTCGGATGTAGTTGCTTTGGATCGGTTGAGCAAACTATTTTGACGTAGAACTCAATCCGGAATTTGGTTTGTAAATGTGTTTTTTTTCCGCCGGGGACTGGCCTACGATTACGGGGAGAAAATCGAACTTAGTAATGAGCTAGGGGATTTATTTGGTTTCAGTAGCTGAAGCCGTGTATCAGAGCTACCTTGTACGAGTACGTCGGGGGGTTAGAAGGAGAAAAAACAAGCAATATCACGGGGCTGACTTTCGATTGGCTCAGGGAGATACGTATCTGGATTGGTCCGTGAGGATACCGGTATGTTATAAGACCCGGGATTATCATTTGGTAAGGTTCAAGGAAAGTTTCACCACCACCACGCACATACTCGAGCACCGCTCGAGTTTGACTTATAAGGGATAATTGTTTTTTCCATTCCCAAGCTCACCGTACAGCATTACTTGGCTCAAGGCCTTTCGGCGGCAAATCAGGGATGATTTTTGCTAACCTCCAAAAAAGAAACGGAAGAAAACAGCACCGAAACTCTGTAACATTTTTGAATAATTTTAAATCGTCATCGGGCAGCGGAGGGCGGAGGGCCGAGGGCCGAGAGCTATCTAGGATATGATGATAAGATAATGGTGGAGGGGTCCAAAGAAGAAAAAAAAACAAGGCGATCCTCGCTCTGTCCGTCCGTTAATCTGTTTGCTGGCTTCCGCTAGAATTTTGCAGCTTCGGCTTTGTCTAACGTTTTTTGTTGAAATGGTATCCACGAGTCCTCCTTCAGGATTCCGAAAAAGCCCTCTCTCCCTATAGATTTCCCCGTCTTTTCTTTGCCTCCACCGCCTCCCACCCAAGGTTGAGAAACACAACCCTATCGTACGATTAAGCGGAGAGCCTAGCGCTGGTCTGCTCCGGTTGGCGTGAACGAAAGTGGGTTTGTCCCGGGAAAACTGATTCACTTTGTCTCCCTCCTGGTGTATCTAAGACATTTTCTGAATGACTTTGGTCTCACTGACGGTGGAATGGATAGAGCTGAACCGAGGGGCGACAAAACGCTGGCGAAATTGGCGCGAATGGAAGAGAGAGAGAGTAAATGGGTAGGTGGATGAATGAATAAATACGAAACTTGTTTGCATTGCCGAACCTATTTTTTATTTTTTTTTGATGATCATTTTCTCGTTGCCGGATGTTGGGTTGGGGTTGGTGAGTGGGGATGAATCGGGTGGTGGTTGTGGGGAGGAAGGGAAGAAGGGAGGAAGGAGAGCTTGGTAGGTGGTAGATTGATTGACGGGAGTGATATAAAAATAAACTCCAGTTGACGGACTCCACTCCTGACAAAGCGGGTTTGTTTCTCCTTCTTTTGGTTCTCTGGGGTGCTGATGGGGTTATCGCTAGAAGCTCTGGATCATGTGGGGGTGGTTTGATTTACTGTTAGAGTTAGTGTGAACTTGACGTGCTTCTTTCTCTCCCCTCTCGGATTCCTCGCTCGAACCGGTCTTTCCCCCCACATACTCATCGCATGCCATCACATAACCTAGACAACTCCAGATCTCCTACAAGCTCCTACAAGCTTGAAATTTCGCTTTTTCTCTCTGCATCGTAAGCAGCTGGTGATCAAAGCAGTCACTGTTTTCATACAATACGTCAAGTGTCAGAGTTTTACCAGGACGCGCCGAGTTGTGACGTGGAACACATTCACCGGCGGCAACTAGGATGGCATCTCTCTCACCTTTTTCTTTTTTTCCCCTCTCCCATCTTTTATTCTCAAACAGGCTGTCTTTGGTAGCTGTCAAGCTTCCAGCGGACACGAGTCATTCACTCTGCAGAAAGCCCTGGTTGGAGGGTAGACCTTGTTATCGGCCCTGCCGTATTGGATATTCAGGAACACTGATTTCAGTGGAAGAACCTTTTTTGCGGGCGAGTTTTGTTTCCTTGTTTAATCGACTTGGATGTTTTAACGATGGAAAAAGGTGATTTGTTCGGGGCAGGAGGGGCAAGAAAGTCTAGATTGGGGGTTTGTCCTATCATGATTCATAACAAACCGTGTTGCTACTGCGTGCCACACCCTTGGAGATATGCTTGGGATGCCCTTCCAGAACAGTGCGTGCGTATGTGTATGCTCGGCATATGAGGAAAGGGGGTTCGTTGAGTGGTTAATGTTAACAGGTCTGTGAAGAGGTAGGGTTTTTTTCATAAATAATCTTCCGCTGCTTTTAAGAGAGAAAGGAAAACTAGCTGGTGGTTGAGCTCTGATGATCGCAAATCGGAGCGCTGGTAAATTCATGGGCGCTACCACAGTGGATATTTACCCATAAGACATAGTAAGCATGTGCGGGGAGGGGAAAAGTTCATCTGCACAAAATTTAGTGAGACCAGCGCTGGGAATCATATCGTCTCACTCGCCAAGTGTCAAAAAACCTGATGGTCGAGCGGACGGAATCCCAGTTAGGATAATTGGGCTATCCCCCGTCTCCCCTCCTCCGCTTCCCCTTGCTTCCCCGCTCTGTCCGTCTTGCTTGGCGGTGTCCTATTCAATAAAAGAAATCCACATCAGCTTTGGAGAAAAAGTAAAATAATGTGAAAGCAGAGACATTCTAATGTATGCTACACAGCCGCTGTGCCCACAGCAGTCCACACCCGAGACATTTTCCGCGCCCGGGTTGTGGTATCCATCGACAGGCATCGCAACAAGCACGTATGTCCTTGTTTGCCTCGTTACATTGGTGCTTGAGGGGAGGTTGCTACCTTTGAGGTGTGCTTAGTTCAAGGATATTGTATAACATTGCACTGCACTTGCTCTTCGTCCTGGGGGATCCCGGTATCTGGTCGATCAGGGAAAATGTGTGATGTACAAGTATGTCTAGATGAGCGATATCTGTCTCTCCCTTTCCCCCTCTCCCCGAATGTGTGTGTCCCATTTTTTTCCTTTTTTCCTTTTGGTCTTACTTCCACCCACTAGATCCTAGGATCGCAAGACAAAATTTGGGACGAATGAATATTTGCGGGTCGTGTCTTTCCTACACGAAAGCGTCAAGGAGTACCGGTAGCGCAACTCCTACGGTAGTGATCTGCCCATCAATTTCCCGTTCAAACAGATGCTGCATGTACTTGTATGATACGAGCTTACGCTGGGTTAGAGAATGTGCAAGCTAAGATGTAGGAATTATTATTTATTTTTTTGGGAGGGGGCGGGGAGTGGGTGGGCCGATGGGTGAGTGTACTCGAGTAGTTGTGTGGGTGGGCCAGGATATAATTTGATTTGCGAAGAATATGATAGAGGATTCTCGTGATCATTCAGGATAGCTTCCGTGATTCTACTGCCGACTGCGGGATACCCAGTTGGTAAGTATGTTCGGATCATTCACTATTTCTACTGGAAGATTATGGGGTACTGATAATAACCCTTACTCGAATACTGCTTCTATAGGAGAGACGTGGGCACAAAAGCGCTTACCTCTCTGTCGGGTTAAAACGCCGAAGGGGCTGTGTGCCCAAGCACCCATCGAGACTCGCTCGTGCATTTCCTCCGCATCACCCATGACGATAGTACTCGAGCACAGTGCTTGGCCGTAATTTTGTCAATGAAGTGGGGAGTAGAGATATGATATCGATTGGCAAGAGGGGTAGTGATACATGTTGCGGTGACGTGCCATCAAAGTTTTTGATGGGAACTCAACAGACATGTTGTGCTGTACATAGTGTTGACAAGGGCAAATCAGCTACAAGCACTTTCTGTGTATGTATCCCCCGTGTTTAAGTTCCGTTAAGCACTAATGCCCCACCAACGCTGGGATCGGGGGAGTTTCTCGCTAGGATCCTATCTGCATATGACATCCGGCATTAACGAGTGATGAGCAATGACTGTGAAAAATCATTGTTCCAAGTCCAGATGGGCCCGCGGTGGCCCGGGCGGGAGGCTTCAATACCCGTCACTCGCAGTTCATCGCTGCTGTGCTCTTCATGGCCGCTATTTTGCCAGCCCCATCTGCACTAGCACAATTCCTTAAAGATGGGGTTGGGCGTTTGCTAGGGCGCTCCTGATTTAATTTAGCGAGATTCCATGATACTATTCCCCCCCCCTCTCCCGGATTCAACTACCGTCAGCTTATGATATTCGTGTACTGTTAGCCCTATCTCAAGGGCCATCTGCCGGGAGTGAGATCTCATTGATGTTTTTGAAGTTTAATAGTGAGTGGCGTTGGTTGCTGACAGATTGGCAGGGTGCAGTTCAGTTACCGCAGGTGGCTTGCTCTGGGGGCGCACTATCATACCCGGCCAGGCAACCGCCAACCAAAAGGGATGCATGTTTTTGATTTTGCGGAATTTTTTTTTCCTCCAGTGTTTTTCCCAGGGAACCCCGTTCGGCAGCTATTCCGTCCCAAAGACCACGGCAAGGAATTAATTTGTCGAGGCTCCGTCTGCCCAAAAGCCTTCCGGCTTATCTCCTCTTAGTCCTCTTTCGTTTGCCGATACCAGTATATCACGCAGATCGTACGCAGCCACCTCTGTATGACTGGCATCCTTTCTTGGCCGCCTTGTTCTAAAATTTGATACTATGATAGAAATCTTGCGGCGTTTTATGGGACGGGATTTAAGACCATGAGGGAGGGTTCAAGGAACAAGGCGTGAGGCATGGGTGTCCCGCGCTGGGGTTGGTACGGGAGCGCGGAGATGCACACAACCAAAGGAGTGTATTGGGGAGGGGGGGTATTGTTGGGGTATATTGGGCCCTATTCTATGAGAGCCCGTGACCTTCCCTTCCCCGAGGAGAAGTGCTCTTACCCTTACTAAGGGTTCCCAATATTCTACCGTAAATTTTTGAATAATTGGACGGTGTGCTATCATTGGGTTTTCAACTCTCAACCGGGTCAAGAATATATTCTTTTTTTCTGTCCCGGGGGGGAAAGGGGCTGTTGTTTTTTGCCCCCTTTCCAGAGAAGGCAATTTTGGACTACACAGCATACCGTCCAATTGTTCAAGTCTCCACGGTATTTTTTTATTCTTTTTATTCGTTCAACTCCGCAAGATGCCGACCCGCTCGGACCTCTCCCCCCCCTTCTCCTCGATGGGCGTTTAAACACTCGGCAATCAAACACCTTATGGCGATCTACCCCCGATCCAAATCTTCGGTTTCCCCTGCGAAAAGTTTCAAGATCGATACTCTAATAGATGGACGTGCGCTAGATTGGGTTTTTTTTCTGAGCCGCGATTCAAGCATTGGTATGCATGCAGCACTTGGCCTTTATGCCCGAGTGAGACTTGGTGAGCACACTTGGTGACCAGGAGGATGGGCGGTCAATCATTGATAGAAGTATCATATCGAAGTTCTGGGCCCTTATGCTCGGCGGAGGCAATAGGCCCTAATGGCATTGGTTGATTAATTGTCGGCTCAACTGTGATACTTTACGGGGGAGGAATGGAATGGAAATAAGTGCTAAGGGTGCAGTGAATGAGGGAAGGACAGGGTCTGTGGAGCATAGTGGCTCTGGCCCAAGGATAGGGGTGAGAGGTGAAATATCTCTGGGGGATTGTTTTCTGATTCTCCTAATTTGGTCTTTGGAGAGAAGCTGCTACTGTTGGCTGGGTCGGTGTGGTTGGTGCCCGTTGCGCCGATGTAGGGGTAGGAATCTGGTGACTTGGGCAGGAGTTGAGATTTCTAGTACTGGGATCACAGTCCGTTCTAGCGTCGTGAGGATTGGTATCCCTTTGCAGTCTGGTTGGTCGAGGTTTATTTGCACTCCCTATCCTCTGTGTGGGTAGTCGCAGTGCCAGAATCTCGCGACTCTGGAATAGACGGTACTAGGCTTTCCAAGCGGTAGTTTTTACGTGTTTGCGGGAGGAGGTTCTCCAGAATTGGGTGTGGATAATGAACATATCTTAGATGTGTGATGGTATCATACCAAGACTAGATTTACTGGAGTATGAAGTTCAAGGTGCAGTGAAGTCAAAAATGTGTGTCCGTTAACACGTGAGTCTAATATACAACAGTTAAAATGGGTGAATGATTGTATACCCCGCCAGCTCCTTCTTGCCTAATAGCATGCTGGGATCAAGTTAGGTTGGGAGCACTCTTAATCTGTGTGGGAAATTTTGCGGGTATTGACCGGAGGGAGACCAAAATTTCTTGATGCATAAAGTAGTCTCGCTAGAGCTCATTGTAAGGAACTTAATTGACGTCAAGTTATAGCTCGGAGTATCTATATATCTAGTATCCTCAGCGGAAGTAGTCTTGTAGACGCCAAGAAAATGAAAGGACGAGGTAAGGACCCCAAAATAGGTAACTTATTTATTCTTTATAACTCGGTCTCTCAACCTCCCTTGTCGTCACCGCCGGGCACATTTCAGTTGATATGCGCAACAACTTTGGAACCGAATAACTAATACACACCAATTTAGATAGAGTGTCGAAGCCATTTGCCAGAAAACAGCATTGATAGTAACCACTTATAAACAAGCTATATTCCTAAAAGCTACCATCTCTAGAGGTGTTGGGATGTAATGAGATCAAAATGTAATTCTCCCAAGCATGGTGTGACGCAGCAGTTGATTGGAGTAGGAGATTTTTCATTTAGGTGAGTATATTCCGTCTAACCCCCTTCTTTGACAACGGCACTAGCACTTCCACCCAGTGGGCAGTCAGCTATGAACTCTGCGAGGATTTTCTCTAGGGTGATGAATCCATTTTCTAGCTCCCTCGCCTTATTAGTGCTCCCACTATAAATCCTCCAGGGCGCCCCTCGAGGATGGGTATTAGGGGACACTCGTCTTGCACCAAACACTAATGTGAGGTGACCTGCACGGACCAGTTTATTGTCTCCTACGAGCCCAGTTGGCTCGGGTCCTTTTTCTATATAATAGTGTGGAATGGGAGAGTTAGATATGCGGCGTTTGGGAATGGGATGAATGGTGCGGAGTGCTCAGGGACGAGAATAGGAATTAGGCCGGTTTTCTTTGATCTTTATTCGGTTTCTCGCCCCCCTTTTCCCCCGCTTCAGGGTACGTATGAAGCCCAGAACCCGTTCTCCGCCCCGCACTACTGGTTTTGTCAGGTGGGCGAGTGATGGGAGGTGACTTTCGGCAAACCATGGCTCGGGTCCCAAGCGGCCCATCTCATCGGCCCATCCCCGAGTGAGGTGGGTCCCCTCCCGCTTGTAAGCAATTAAACAACCAGTTCTTCGACTATTCTAGCGAGTTGCTGCGAGGTTTTTATAAGGTTGAGCCCGCAAACCGCTCCCTAGTTACTCCCAGCCTAAGTTAGATAATATAGCAGATAGCGAGAAAGTATAAAATACGATGTTTAAAGGGCTTGAAAAAAAAAAAAACTGTAGACATTATCTAAGCCGCCTGAAAGAAGTGCACTTATATTCGCATCGAATAAATACATCTTTCCTCCTATCAGGCACACATCCTAGGGGAGGTTGCTATTCTAGAGAGACGAGCCCGGACGCTAGGATATCAAATTTATTCCCAGACCAGATCGTTACCGTAGAATCACCTACTCTAGCTAGGTAGGTTAGCTCTCTTACTTATAGCAATACAGTACTAGATCGATCTACCTCGAAATGCCAATGCGGTCCATCGACCGCCGCCGTATCTGATAGTGTTAGATTATCCCCATATCACCCCAGTACTCTATTTCCCCATTCCATAAATCATGCCAGGGTTTTTCGGCCAAGCAATTTTTGCGAACAAAGAACCGGGTGACCCGGAGCCCCCATCCTCTTAGTAACCAACTTAGGTACATAATGGAACATATGACGCCACGGCATGAAGAATTGGGATCGGGAATCCGGATTCCTGTCTCCTTTGTTTCACTAAAATCTAGTATAAAATGTTGTGATACAGCAGGTGGCACCATCTCGGAATAGATCAGATAGACGTCCCAGGAGGGAATACGGAGGATCCCTAGTAGTATCGTGACTTGCTGCATAGCTCAGGTATTAACCCACCGCTCTACTGCTCGATAACCATGGCTCCCTCTAATCGTACAGTTCATTGTTTCCGAACGACACCAGTCTCTTCACATTGTCTCACTCGCTCTACTTTTTTTCCTGAGGCTGGAGGTCGGGTGTGGGAAGTGAGAGATCGAAGAGAACGTAGCCACCGAGGAACATCGGAAGATAGAGGGTGTTGCAGATTAGCAGTAAAGAGAGTTGGTTTCCATTGTCCTCCTATTGCCACATGTCTCACAGGCAGCATTACTTATACCGATAGAAGACTGCCTATGGACAGCAATGAGCCTAGAGGCTCCGATCTAAACATACTTCTGTCACGTTGAAGGAATACTTCCAACACGCAGGAAGTCTAGAGTCGAGTAGTAAACAGTCCAAGAACCGATTCTGCACAGCACAGTGTCAGTTTCGCCAGCTTGGAATACTTGCTCTATCTCCTCGATGGTATTATGTTGGCTAAGTCAGGTCTGGTGTTTGCTGACCTAACTACAGCAAATTCCCTGGCTTACCGCTTTCTAACATAGATATCATACTCATCCCAAAAATAAAAACCGGGGAGCGCACTTTGTTATTTGACAAAAAAGAACGCCACAGAGTTATCCCAAGAGGGAGGTTGAAAGCGAGGTCTTGCTGGGAGTCGAACCCAGATTACGGGAATCAGAATCCCGGGTGCTAGCCATTACACTACAAAACCGCTAGGGGGCTAAAGGGCATATAAGTGACAAGTATCTCGGGAGAGTTAATTTGGGCTCAAGGAAAGATTCCCGGTCTAAGATGTTTTGGTATCATACGCCGAAAATGGTTGGTTAGAAGGTTGGATTGATGGGTTGTTTAGTGCACAGCGGCCGTTAGGGAAATTACTGCATAAGGATGCTATTTTTTAGGTACTCAATCATTTGGGATATTTTGTAGCTGTAAGTTCTAAGCGTATACCTGTATTGTAGCAGATAAAATTCATTGTCGGCAAAGTATCATATAATGCCGTATTTTAATTGGCTAGGGCAAATGGCATTAGGATATAGAAATTTTGGTTAGGGAATAAAGCAGGATATATCTAAGAGGGAGGGATCTGGATGAAGATACCAACGCTCACGGTAGGATGAGATCGATACTTGTGTTGGCGATTCTTAGTAGCGTTGTTGTTTCAGGACAAATTTCGGAACGCCTGCGCACTTGTCAGCATGGCATCCTCCACTGCCAAGATACAGTTCGCTCAACACCATCCACAATCACTCTAGATCCCTCTTGACACAAACTACTCGAGTAAACAAACAATCGATCAAGAAGCTCCAAAACCACCACTATGAGCAGAAATCCACCACAATCCTCGAAATCACCGGTACATCCACTTTACAACGTAACCTACACAATCCACCGTCTATCCCCTCTACACAAATTCCCTCCGAGATCAGACTTCAAGTCGCACGCCCGATCCCTTCAACAAATCCTGCGCGGTGACGTCCTTCGTGGAGTACGCATTGCGCTCGGCAACGAAGATGAGGCACTGGGGCGAGCAGGTCAGTTAAAAGCCGTGACATGGGAGGCGCTACCTCGCTGGCAAACGTTTAGCGAAGATGACGAGGAGGAAGCGGCGGTGGAAGAAGCAGGCCCCGGAGTAATAATCGAGATGCGGTATGAGAAGATGTCATACACATCTCTATTGTTGCCATCGCCTTCAGAAGCTACTGGGTTAGAAGCTGAGAGCCAAGAGTTTACCAAGCTCCCGTTACTTTTAACACGCCTACCCAAATCCCTCCGGGATACGCTGATTAGCTACCTCTCCACACGATTCGACACCCTCCCACTACCATTGGCACTCCCATCGTCACTATTACAAGGGTCGGTGGAATTCTACTTCTCACATACCTATAGTCCGCCGAAGGACGTACAGATATCTTTCGCTACGCCTACCACCACTCTCAAAACAGTCACCATAACTATCCCCCGGGACGATATTGCTGAGTTCTGTGCCCGCGGGAAGCAACTTCCTGGGGGGGGATTCTACGCGGCATTGAAGCATTATCTTCGAGGAGCTATGGCATTGGACATCACATCTTTGGCGATTGCTAAGGTGGCGTGTGGGGGCTTTGTCTTAGGTGGGGGAACTGGTGGAAAAATCAAGATTTTTCCACCGAGGGATGTGGGGGAGCATGAGGCAGTGAAGAATCTAATCCAAGAGCTTGTCAAGGTAGCAGATACGTGAGGAAGAGGACCAGGATTTCTAGTCCACGATGCAACATATTGGCGTACGGGTCATGTGATGTTTTTTAATATGAATCGCCCGAGCGATTGTACTTCTTTTACTGTACCAACGTATCACATGGGTAGCACTTAATTTTGTGGCGAGGTACCATATATACCGGGAATTTCTTTTTTAAGGGTCATACGGATATTTGGTGCCGTATTTCGCTCAGCGCACAAAGGTTTCATATAGATGCAAATGTTGGGCGGTTTGGGTAGGTTCTATAATTTTCCGGCTTGTTTCTAGTATGAACCACGAACTCGAATTAGATCAGGGCCGATTTTGTGGAGTCCCTACCCAAATCAAATATGGAATTTCAACTCACCCCAGCCCAACCGTAGACCGAAAAATAATAGGTAAGGCGGATGCGTGGAGTCGACCAAAAAAAAAAAAAAAAAAGGCACTTCAAGGTCTTGCTGGGGATCGAACCCAGATTGCGGGAAATTTGGTAGAAGCGGTGTTTCCAACGACTAGTCAAAATCCCGAGTGCTAGCCATTACACTACAAAACCATTACATGAGTTTAAAAGTAGAATATTTAACCACATTTTCACAGCGAAGGAAACGCCTATCATAGTAGACTAGTTAAGTGTTTGCAGAAATCACAATTAATTACCCATGACTAACATGCTCCGTATAAATTACCACCGCTATTTACATTCCTAATAAACAGTTGTTTCCAATATGCGGCTAAGCCCGTCGTTGTAAAGCACAGGAAACGCTTCGTATAATAATTTCCTTACTAGAAAGGGTACTCGTACTGTATGACAGCTTGGCCAATACTACAGTATTTTCACGATTAACCCATGCACTCGAGTATCTCGCTACAAGTCACTCAAGCGCCTCCGGTCGTAATCAGCTGGACGTGCAGGAGTTTTTGAGCGCTTTGAATGACTTCAGTCTTGGAAAATCTTTGCCATTGCCATCTCACCCAGTTAATGACCTCTTTATTGGTTAGAGGGTTTTTGAAAGTCCCGCGACGTTAGCCCGGGCCAGTCCATTACTCTTGAATGTTTACGCATTTATACCGGCTTGGAACGGACCAAGTGGGACTCTTCTACGCTTATTCACATGGAGAGGTCCTTTTGAGCTTTGCGTCAATAGTTTGGGCCCAAATTCTAGATACTAGTCCAGTCGGCAAGGTATCGAAAAACTAGTTCTCGTGCTTGCCGCGGTGCAGGGGGAAGGATAACAGCCGTTGATATGAGTTATCTTATACAGCTCTGATGGGAAATGCTCTACATTTTTCCTCCCACCCACTCAAGTGAAGAAGACAATTTCCAAGAGAGATCTTCTGATTCTTATATCATTTCTGGCATTGTGGGAAGGGATTAATGCGTGGTCGCTCGATGACTGTGATGCCTAGTATGACAATCTATTCCTATTGTCTGTCATTCACACATACTATCATAATAATATTATGGTATTTTTATTTTAGCTCGTCCACCCTCAAGAAATGCCATGGGATCTGCGGGCTGGCAAACAGGACCCCAGCTATGATATATTTTTTTCCCAACCGGAAATTCCAAGAATAAGTGAGAGAAAAACTCAACTTTTGTAGTGTAGACTATCGCAGGCCTAATTAGGGCCCCCTCCCTCTCAAAAATAGGCTCAGCATTGTCACCCCATCATTACTCCGCACTCGCTCCTCCATTCCGAAAAATCTGCGAATAAATAAATACACCCCCCCCGCAAAACGAAACCGAGTCAAGTATATCCTATCTGTGGCAGATTGCTTGCCCCCTCCTAGAGAAGGGCATTTCATTATCTACAAGCATGACAGGGGTCTATTTCCACCCGGGCTTATCATCACGAAATGTGGTTCGGGTTTGTGCTACGGGAGGTGCTATGATAACTTACCCACGACTCCGGTTTGCTCTGTCACTTCCTATAATGGAATCGTATCGCTCATCCTCGGGCTTTTTTGCTGGCAAGATGTACCGGCAAAGCGTGGCTGGGGGAAGGAGGCTGTGCTTTTGCTGTGTTTTTGGCCCGCCTTCGAGAGAAGGGAACTTTGGACTTTATAGAACACGGTTCAGTTATTCGAGTTTCTACGGTATGGTACATCCAACTCAGTTGTCTTGGATGATAATAAGAAGTCCTATTATCCCGACGACTGAAAGGACTTACCAACAAGCCAAGTATCAGCCCGTGCCAGCCAGAAAACAGCCGAGCAGGCAATAGCTACGTTGGTTCATGTTTGGAGAGGGTTTCCACAGGAATCGATTAGGAAGTGTTGTCAAAGCTTTCATGAAAAGCTTAACACATGTATTGTCGATGGTGGGAATAATAACCCTGACGGATAATATCTTGTATTTAGTATGAGAACACCATCCAGGTTTCTCGTTTTTACACTTACGGAATTTAGGCAGCCATTGTTACCGGTTGGTTTTAAAGCGCCCTTTTCTTTACCCTTTCACTGTCGCCGCAACTATGTCTATTTGACGAATTTTATTGGCAAAAACGGCGGAGGGCGAGCAATACCGATAGGGTGTGACATCGCAAACCGGCGCGGTGACTCAGGGGAGTTTAGATGGCCAAAAGTAGAGGGTTATTTCAAATTATAATACTCGAGTATATCTAGGCCCTCAGTTAAGGGCTTTACTCGACTAACAAACCCCGTTATCGATAAATAAATAAAGTTAGGGAAGAAACAACGTGATTTTAATCATAATCGAACATCTGTTGTCTGACCTGTCGCAATTGGAAATCATAAAAAGGCTGTTTGAAATCACAAGTCTGTGCACCCCCTTAAGTCTGAGGTTTCTATGATATGATAGCAAGACGTAGCGAGGCGAATCTAACCAACCCAGACCCCAATATCAGCTTGTCTACTTGTATTGTATGATATGACCGCATTAAGTGACTTGATTAAAACAGGACACTGTCGCCCCCCCGCCCCCATTGTACTATAGTGAATACAAACCCCCCCCCGCAAGGCAAATTCGAGAAAGATGTCATACCGGGATTTCATACTCACTGAATGATTCAGATTCCTTCCAAAAGTGGAAAATACCCCACAGGGGATATCCCTTGTTGGGATCACCAGAACTCACTCGGGAGTGGAGCCAATTTGCTTTGTCGGTGACATGTTCCTAGTTGTTTCCTAGGTTTCTTGGTTTTGCTTTTTCTATGCGTTTCCTTACGGATTTTATCCCATAAGCTGTCGAGACATTCCGGTCCATTTTAAAATCTGTAACACTAGCCTATTGAGGAATAGTCTTGAGCACCTTCTTGACCTCATCTCATCCAGCAATAACACGGCCAGGACAGGAAAACCTCGCAGCCAATATCAAAATGCCACCAAAGCGGAAAGCTCTTGCAGATATTCCACTCAATGCAGCGGACTCGGCGAGTAGTTCAACTCATCCTTTGAAAAGGCAACGAATACAGCAAAAGCAAGCTACCAGCTTGCCGATAACTCCTACTCCTTTTCTACAAGAAAAAAGGTCACCATTGAAGCAGCGCGCCCATGCCTAGTCACTTCCTTCCCTTCCCCAATTCCAGCTGTTCAACTCCCCTTATCCAGAGCACTCCTCAGAGGTATAATCCTGCTTCTGCATAGAGTGTATTTGTAAAAGCTAAATCCAATAGTAGGCCTTGTGTAACGATCCCTCCCTGGATAGTTAGTTCTTGGCGACGGGGAATGATACTTCTCGTTTCTGTCTCTTTCTTCCTTCGTCTTACGATAGCTCTAGGCCTCTGCCTACGTTACCGATAGTACAAGACCTTTGTCTTCTATCGGGAATGCCTATCGTAAGCTTTCTCTAACTCGTCTTCATGGAGAACCTTCCTTGGCGTAACAATAACGTCACAGTAAAGATAAAGATCGTAAAGGTGTTTTATATTTGTTAAAGTAATAAGTAGGAAAAGTACTTAGAACAAAGCGTGAAGAACCTATCCTCCTCGGCCGCATCGGCCTCCTTATATAGTGTTCTTCCGCCCATAGTCATGTGACCTAAAGTGGTCACATGTGTGAAACAAAATCATAACAAACTAATCATGTGACCAACATGGTCACATGTTCAAACCCCATGACCTCATAGCGAGGTCATGTGCGAAAAACTCATAAACTAATCATAATGCAATAAACAAGTCATATGACTTGACCGAGTCATATGTGCAAAACATAAATCATATGCATAAGGCTTACCCGCAAGGCATACTCACAAGGTACACTCGCAAGGCACACTTGCCCTATGTACGTCCCATGACTCATATTTGAGCCATGTGCGAAAGCATCACAAATCCCACACATAACAAATCATATGACCCGAATGAGTCATATGTGTGAAACAATAACGTACCTGTGACTCATAACTATGCATCACGTGAAAACACTTTCCTCGCTAAGCCACGTTCGTGACACCTTGGTACCAGTAGAGTGCGAGCATGATCCATATACTTTATTTTCACTCTTTTTTACTGATAAAACTTTTGTGGAGCTGGCCGCCAATACAAATAAGTATGCGGAGATGAAGCAGAAGGAAGTAGGAGAACAGCAAGGGGTAAAGAAGGCAAGACCACAAGGGAAGTCGGTTTTTAAAACGAGTAGCCAAGGATCCCGGCAATGGTTTGCGACTTCTGCTGGTGAGCTGAAGGTCTGGTTTGGATTGACAGTTAAGATGGGCCTCCACTGAGAACCATTTAATGCTCTTCATTGGTCCAAGGAAGCAAGGAATGGTTGGCGAAAGACTTCACTACATCCTGTACTCCGCCACCGCTATCTCTCAGTACCCCGCCACTATAGAGTCCCTAAAAATTCCATGTCTCTCACGTGATACCAGCAGATCAAGCAGTATTTTCATGTTTCAGATCCCACAATTGAACTCGATCGAAAAAACTGGTATAAAAAGCTTAGCCCATTGGCAGACCAACTCTGGGAGAGGTTTCAACAATACTTTCTTCCTGGAACCAAGGTGGCGATAGATGAAATGATGGTTAAGTTCTGTGGACGAAGTCTACATACTCTAAAGGTCAAGAACAAGCCAATCAAACAGGGCTATAA